TCACTTTGTGTACAAACCTATGACTATCGATTTCAAAATATAAGATTACTATACCGGAAATACCCAGTTACTTCACATTTTCACTTAAAAGTTCCGTAATTAGATGACTAAAGTCACGTGAAATGAAAATGCGATAAGTGATTAAATTCACGGAGAAGTTCATGCTCTGACGCTCGACGCTTGACGCTGCCATGTACAAGCACCTTAAAGATGATATTTTAGGCTGCTTTCCTTTTAGAAGACACAGTCGACACACTTGACACAAATCGACACACGTCACTTTCCATTTACAATTTTGTTCAAATTCAATCGACACACTTCTCCTCTGCTCAGGAGGAGAGTTAAGGGCACCGCATAATAAAAGGAACAGGGAACAGAGAACAGAGAATAATAGCGTATTCGATTTACTGACTCGACCCGACTCCGAGTCAATAGTCTGTTCTGTTTAGCTGCAAAAGAAGAGCTAAATTGTGTAAGAAATGCAGCTGAAAAGAACAGACTGTTGACTCAGAGTCGGGTCGAGTCAGTAAATCGAATACGCTATAAGAATGTCAACCTATCAGAAATCATGTAATGTGGAATACATAGTGTGTATTCCACAATACATGATTTCTGATAGGTTGAAATTCTTATTCTTTGTTCTCTGTTTCCTGTTCCTTTTATTGTGCTGAGTCCTTCAGAGTGTGTTTCGAGTCTGTTCAAGTGTGATTTTATGAATTAAGTGATATTAGAACGCACCCGCAAACTAATTTCCATGATTTTTTCTGTTTTCAATATCTGGAGACACGGTAGTGTCTCGGGCAGGAGGATCCCGTTTGCTTACAGTTCTGATTGTACACACCACTCATATCAACTGGTGCCTAGTAATTTTTCACTGTTTTGCCAATGAGGTTATTTTATTTTTAAATTGGCTAATCTCTCAGCGATACATGTGTGCCATATGCGATGTGTGCAATCGGAGCCCTCCCGTCTCGGGCTAGGATCCACTTGACGCTACAAACGCTACAAAGCATTTGGAGCACCGATTGGCTGGTCCACTTGACGCTCTGGAACGCTCCCAGTAGTTCTCATTACGTCACTCATACGTCATCACTTTCGCTCCGGGTGGCACCCAGTTGGACACGGCTCAATTGGACACGAGCCACTCACAACGCTTGAGACTACAAAGCTCCTAAGCACCGGTCGCTGTGATTGGTGGTGTCCAATCGAGACGTGGTCAATTGGGATCACCCCTTTCGCTCCCACTTCCGCTCCAGCTGCCTCACCTCGGGAGGTGGGTTAGCGGGAACATTCTAAGCATTTGGCGGGAAAGTATAAGTGTGAAAAATAAAGATAAAATTTTGCATATTTTTAAGATGCGACAACAAATGCAGGTTGATATGTCGCCAAATGTATTCAAATTATTTATTAAAATTGGAACTGAATTGGAATTTAATTCCATCGCAATGAAATTTTCTTTATGGTTATTCCCACCGATTAATTAGATCCGATTAATTAGATCGATAGAAAATATGAGAAATATACTTTTTTTTATTTACACTCATTGTAACGTCCGCCGAAAATTACGAGCAGGCGAACGTCACTTCTAACAACGCCAGACGCGTTGCCGTGGCAACGCGAACTGTCGCGACAGCCGCGAAATCCTCGCGAACCGTGATGACGTGATCACGCGGTTAGCGCGTGATCAAACAGCTGTTATTAAACCGTACTGCGCTTGCGCGACCTAACATAATTAATCGCGTGAAAATCCGTTTAAATTAATAGCGAGATGAATTAGCACCCCATAATATTGAATAATAAACCATAGAGAACTAAGAGGCTCTCTGCTATTCTCGATCTATCGCAGTATTCTAAAGTAATCAATAAATCTATTTCATTTAAATCCAGTAATTGCAACTGCAAATTTGACTGTGCCGATTCAGAAAGCGGCTAATACTGCGCTTATGATCGAGAATACGTAGCTGAATGGCATCCGCAAGTGCACCAAAAGCTTCTAACAAAACCTGCGAGATCCGTTAGAAGCTTCGCGATACAAATAACACACAAACGCTCTATACTCAAACTCTATGTATAAAAAAGAGAAAATATCATTCGGCGGAATATAACGCGAATAAACGCGCACAGCGACTGCACAGTATGCAGCACAGGGGCGGAGCGACTAAGGGGGCCCTGTCAGCATTTAAATTCGGCAATTTCTCCCTTTAAAACAATAAAATCTAATAAAATCTTATTAGATCGAAAATTCTAGAACAATTCAAACGATTCCGGTAACTGTTGACAGGTCAACCCCCTTTCCCGCTCAGCACCACCACTTCTAACAATATAAAAGAGCACACCAAAGACGGAAAATCGCTTAGTTTCGACTTAGTTTTCGACTTGGTATCGATTATTATAGTTTCTGCTTAACTCAGTTCCGGCTTGTTTTTCGACTTGACCAATATAGTTCAGTATCATCAGAGTTGCGAGTATCGATATTGCGCTTTCGGTTCGCCTTAGACTTGGGAGAAACGGAACGGGGTTATTAGAGTGTCGAAGCGGGAAGCGTTTGTTAACTTCCTCTGAGGACCGTCCGTAGGATCAGGGTGCATTTGTGGAAATCCCGAGGACCATCGTCCAAAACAGGCACATTGCAGGATAGCCGACCATCAACGCGCCGCAAAAGTGAGTTCCGTGTGGCACTTCCGCTAAATTTTCCGAACTAAGGCGTGCGAAACATCTGCATACACCAACCTCGCTCATTTTGTTCAATGCTTTATGTATGCATCTTTTTATTACAAGAGGTCAAATTAGAATAAACTTTTAGTCTTTTATTTCTTTATATTTCTTTTGTATTTTTTT